AAGAGAAACTAAAAATGCATGCCGTGGAAGAGTTCAGGTCTTAGGAGGTTAACTAATGTGTGCATGCTGTCACATAAGATACCTCTAAATACTAGAAAGTAAAACAACAAATATGACCTAAAAGAATATCACAATTTTTATAATAACTGGGGTTCTGAACCTCTCTTTGTTAACTCAGTCTCTAATGCAGCGGGCATTTGATGTGTTTTTGTACTTCTGCACAAAAGGACATAAGAGGATAATGGCTGATCAAGGTCTATAGAAAATAAATGAATGAATGAATAAATAAATTAATATTTCAAGAAAGCAACAGTACTGCTGCAGAAAACCTTTACTGCCCACTGCTACTGTTTACTTCTAACTGGATCTCTAATCATCAGAGCTTCAAACTTCATACAAAAAAAAATGGCATGAAAATTAAAGGCTGCTCAGTTCATATCAGGTCTGACACTGTCCCATAGCGTTCTGAAAGAGACCAGATCAAAGTGAAATGGGATCCAATCTTGCCGATCAAGTTTTCTGATCAGTGTTTTATAAGCTGCAGATTCAACAATACAAAACAGACACAGCAGGATAGGAGGAGCAAGCAGAAAAACATATTAATGGCTTTCCTGCCTCACTGAAGACATGCAAATTACAGCGCCAATGCAACATAGACAGGTTGTGCTGCTGTAACGTCACAGAAGGACTTATTGTGATGTCAGTAAGATATGGCTCTAGATGATCTATATCTCTCTCATAGCAGATATTCATTTAAAAAAACAAATTAATTAAAATCACACACGCAAAACCAATCTGCTTGTGTACTGAAAGCATCTTTAAAATTAAACTCATAACCTCTGGACAAGGTTATATGTTGAGCATGAGCTGCTATGTTGATCTAGACACTGAAGCAGAACCACCTTCACGACACTGAAAATTTTGGCTTCATGTTTGACATACCTCAAAAACCCAAAGAAAGCTCAGAGCTCTCAGACAGATCACAAGCCAATAGCTTCTGTAGGATTTTTTTATTTATTTATTTTTAAACTGTATTAAATCCAGTCTGGCGGTTTTCAGATTTTATGGGGACTCACGTGGAGTTCCGGTGTCTTGAGGCTGAGGTCGGCGAAGGCATCTCCCAGCTGCCTCTGTGTCTGCATGATCTGGGAGAGCTGACTGGCCAGCATCTGAGCCAGCTTGATCACATGCTGGTACTTTCTCTTGTTGTCACGGAGGACTTCGATTTGGGCCTCTAGCTCCAGGTCCACGGTCCGCGAGCCTCGGCCCAGCTTTTCTGACAGGATCTGCCTGGTACACTGTGGAGGACAGCAGGATTGTTGAAACAAAATAAGCAAATAATAGAGAATCAGAAATTTAAACATAAGAACAGGGACAGCTGGGAGTTTCTACTTAAGAGTGGAGTCACAATAACGTCTAAAGTGACAGAATGTCGATCACTCTCTTAACATCCCAGTTTACAAATGGAAGAAGAAGAAGAAGAAGAAGCAGGAGGTTAGAAAAAGGACATAATAATAAATCAATTAAAGAGAGGTTTACTTTATATGTGTTGATGCTCCACTTCCTCACTAAGTCCAGTTTTTCCATCGCTGGATTTTTTAAGTCTTCTGAAAGCACCACCGCTCCGCTCTTTGGCTGTGCTGTCATCGAGCCTGGAGAGTTGAAAGTTATTCACTTAGCAAGGTGATATCGATGAACAGCCCAGATGAAATTAACTCTACAACATTAAAATATTGTAAATGACAGGAGCTTCATTTTGTTTTGGGTCTAGAGAAATGCTGAAAGATACGGAGCTCCAGAGCTGATGAAACTGTAGAAGGTGGTCATCATCTGAAGGTAAAAAAAAAGGTCAGCTACAGTAGCTTTAAGTGATAGTTTTAAAATCAAATGTCAAAGCAGTGAAGAAAGTTTTGATTTATTCCATTTTCTCTCATCTGACCGCCTTTCAAAAACATGATGGCAGCTTTGAGGCTCCATAAAGACATGCCGGGTGCCACATTACGCGAGGACAAAGGCTGCATGCAGGAAAACCCACTGAGATTAAATTTGCAGGCAGTTTTTTTCTCCAAGCCAAGCAAATGTAAAGGTATCAAGAAGTTAAATCTAGACATTCTGAGATGTAGACCTCAGTAAAAGGACTCTAAAGGGTATTTTAATGCTCACCGATTGCCAGTGCAAAGCATAACACTACTTATGTTAGCCCGGTCTTATGCAAAGGCAAAGTTTGAAGAGCCAACAAACAGGAAGGGAGAGGAAAGGTTTGATTTGCAACGAAGCACAGCCTGTAGGAATAAAGAGCAGGTAAGGACCTGGTGAGAACCAAAGGCGGTAAAGTAGATTGTGGTTAATTTTGCGTAGAAAATGGTGTTGCTTCATCTGATTCATACACCATCGCTTCGAGGTACCTTTCTCAGCCTGACTATCGCTGGAAGAGCGCGCCAGGCGGCTGGCAACAGCCGAGCTGGGAGCTACAGGTGACACGGGAGATGTGGGCAGGCTTGCTGACCCTGGGAGATAGAGTTATCATTAGTGCGTTACCTTTTTTCCAGCACAAGTATAAGGGGGACTTTCTCACTGGTGTTTATTTCCTGTGTCCCCCCCCCCCATCAAGCTCTCCCCGCGCTGTAGGTGAACGTGCTTGTGAACAAAAGCCTACCTCAGCCAGTGTAAATAACATGGAAAATAGCCATGGCAACATGGCGGTGAATGGGCTCTAGCAGCTCTACGCACTATGGGGAGATTTTTATTTGCATTTGTAACAAGGACATGATGATAAAACGCAGACGGGGCGATACGATGTGAAGATCACAGCAAACTCATTAAATTCAATTAGATGTCCAGCTTTAGAAATTCAAATTTCTACCTTTTATATTTCAGAGAGATTTAAAAAAAACAAAAACAAAAGTGGGGCAGTGGGAACATGGACAGATGGGCGGTTTGTAAACTCAGAATGTTGCAAATAAAATCCAATAATGTAACAAGCTGACAAAGCCTGACAACACACTGACAGAGATGCTGCTTCATAAAACCTCTGAATAGTGAGGAAACGGTCCACAAAGCAACAGGCGTAAAACTGGGGAGAGTACGGCTCACCTTTGTATGGTCCTGATTCAATGATGCCCTCCGTGGTTGAGGCAAAGTTGCTTGATGTGACACAAGTCTCTGAAAGGTTTATGGCCCCTGGGCCACTGGGATAAGAGTCCTACGGGAGGAAACAAAACAAAGATAAAATAGTTTAAGTGGACCTGACAGACACAAACATAAAAACATATCTGGACTTGATTTCTTAGGGACTGGAAGCTTCCTTCTGTAGTCTGAAACCTACAGTTATCCCCTGATAACAGTTTAGCTCTCTCTAAGCATCTTTTAGTTGCCTTCCTGACCAGCAAGCAGAACAGGAAGTCTTTGCGTGGAAGCTACAGATGATTGGTGGGTGTCCCCAAAGGCTTAATCAGAAGAAGGTCTTATGGGTGCGCACATTAACAACTGATTTAGTGAAGCTAAATTTATGAGTCACTTTTGAAATACAGCTATGGTCGAGAAGAGAGAAAACCTCCACTGTGGTTTATCAAGCTGTTTAAATCTTTTATACCATCTAAAGTTTTAATGTAATTTATTTTTGCCCACTAACAGTGCAGACACACAGGATGGCACGCAACAATTTGTGAAACATTCACCACTCCTAACAAATTAATCTCACACTCAAGAAAGCTCGAACAGCCATGCCCAGGATCAATTCATCTCGTTCAGCACTGAATCGTTGTGTTTAAGTTCAGGAGAGTTATGACCATGTGGTCACCAGCAATCATGACCATAAAAAAACAAAACAAAACAAAAAAAAACATGGAGCATTATGGTTTTCCTGTCACCATTACACATATTGAGGCCTTCCTAAAGCGAGAGCCAATCAAAAGGACCACTCCCTCCATGACTATCACCATCTACACCACAGGTCTCCAGCTCCAATCCTCAAGAGCTACTGTGCTGCAGCTTTTAGATGCATCCTTGTTTCAGCAGACCTGAATCAAGTGAATGGCTCATTACCAGGACTTTGCCAAACTTGATGGCATGCTGAAGAGGTAATTCAACCATTTGATTCAGCTGTCAAGGACAGTAGCTCTCAAAGACTGGAGCTGGAGACCCTTGATCTACATGAAGCCATATGGTGCGACCTGACATGCACCTTCCCAGATATCTGGCTATCCCGCTTAATACTTGTCACACACTAACAAAGGACTTGGCCACTTGTGTAGACGCTGCAGGCTCTACATTGATTTATCACAGCAGGATTCAAGTGGCATGGAACACATGTATCAAACGTTTTTATCATTTTACGCATAAGTAATATAAGAATATTTATTTCATTCCTCCATTCACATTCAAGTTAAATCAAGTCAGATGAAACCAGGTAAGAACCTTCCGGCAATTTATCAGTTCCCGCCTCAGCAAGTTATTTTATCAGGATTAAACATTTTAAAGTTCCACACATGCTTGTGGTTACACCATAGACAGTTAAAAAAAAAAAAAAAAATAAAAAAAAAAAAATCTGAACACAGCTGTCTGACTGGAAAAAGGCCGATGTGGAAGTGCTTAAAAACTTGCACTCTATCTGAAGACCACCAGATGGCGATAGCTGTGGTTGCAAAGAGACTTCCAGTCCTATAGAAGTCTATGGGAAAATGGCTCTTTCCCAAACTCTAAACACTTTGTTACTGAACTCACTCGTTAGTCACTCATTCTTGTGTCACACTGACTAAAAAAAATAAAAATAAATTGTTAAACTTGGTCATATTATATGTGAAAAAGAAGATTAGCTGGGGTATTTTCTGCTCGCTCATGGGCTTGTCAATCATAAGTTATTAGCCAATGACGAAGTGGTTTCACTGCCAGACCCGCCCCATCTCGTCACATCTGATGTCTCGCGACCAAGACGGTAACTGAGGAAACACTCGTTTGAGGTTTCAAAACAGAACTTCAGAGAACCGCAGGTGACATGACGGTAGCTATGTCCATGTTTTATACTGTCTGTGAGCTGAACAGACTTGGCAGTGTGACTGTGAGCTATAAGGAGCAATCAGCTGGAACCACTGCCAACTCTCAGACTGATGAGAAAGAAATGTGTCTGGGGTCTGTATGTGATTGGTGGAAAGTGCTTTTCTTTACTGTACCATTACATCACTGCTTGACTGCCTTAAATTAATTTACCCTCAAACATCTGCCACTTAGAGCTGCTCCAAAGTGTACAGTTGATGCTCTTTTTTAGAAATCGTGGCAAACTAAATATCAATTGACTGTAAAAGTTGTTAAAAATAGCAAATACATCCCTTTATACAAGTTTCCCTTGTTTTCTGACACATACTCTTCATAGATATTTGCACAGTTTTTAAGGTTTAATGAAACTAAGCTCATCTCTTACCCTGCTGAATACAGACTCGGGGCTCTGCTCTAGTTCTCCATTGCTGGTGACGGGGATCTCCGCCGCTGTGCTTCTGTGGGACTCCTCGGCCATTGTGCTCTCCTGCAATAAGGATGGTTAAATGAAGCAGTCTGCAGAAAAACTGGATAGCAGTGTTATTCCACTGGCTGCAAATGAGTCAGGCGTGCGAATGGACAAGGTATGGCATGTCATAGGTTGCCATTCCCTACGGTTCAGTAACCTGGATTTCTCACTGGATTTATAATTTTAAGTAAACATCTTCCAAGTACGTTATAGTCTAAATGGCCAACAGCATGTTCATTTTGTAATTTTATGTACTCATAGCCAAGATCCAAGAACACAGCAGTTGTTGCAGGTTATATAGTTGTAAGAGTTTCAAGTGAAGTTTAGTGGGGCTTTTTCTGTAACTTTAGCACTTTTGTTCACATTCAGTGACATATAAATAACATAATTTGACGATTAAACTGCTTTTTTAATATTTAACCTCAACAAATACTTAACATGGTCAGTTTGACTATTCTACATTAACATACCTAAACCATGCTGCATCACCACGACACTGATCAACCCATCCTCCTCTCACAGTTTTCTTCACTGATTATCAAGACAGGATGAAAAGATTTCATTTACGATTAGATTTAAGATCGTTGCTTTGCTTGATTTCAGCACCGATCAGGATATGAAGTTTTTGTGCAACAACAACCGGCATCAGCTTTCCACACTCCCCTATTTCACAACATTACTTCTTAAAGCTACACAGAATAGAATGCATCATCAGTGGCCTTCCACATCTCCTAATATCTGCCACTGCAATGCCTTAAACAGACAATACCCAAATTTTGTGGCTGTGTCCACGTGAGCATTAACTCACCCTATCCAGCTGGAATAAGCATCGAACAAAACTCAATTCTCACAATAATCATGTGGCAGTCCTCATTTTATTCGCCATGAAAAATAGAAATCGTAGCCTTAATCATGATGCAGTGACACATTGGCTTGTTTAGCTCAACCTCGGAGAAAACCGCAGGGTGGAGACAGTTTATGGCCACATCAGTTTGGTTTAAGCTATAATAATCTGCCTGCAGTTGGAGGATGAAGATACAGCTGTGCTAGTTTTAGTACTTTTTTATGGCCTAATCACTGTGGACCTGAAAACTGGGACACTGACCTAATCACTATGACATTCTGTATGGAAGCTTTTGTGAGGCCTGTGAATGTTAGTGTGTGGGGGGGAAAAAGCATTTAAAGTGAGGTGTTTTTATAATCAGTACAGGGGAATTTGCATCTTTGAGCAAGATATTTTATTTATGAATCTTGACCCCTTTCTAAATAATGCAAGTAGTATCCAGATCAGCTGGTAAGAGGAGCCGGTTCCTGTCTTAACAGGCTGAGTGGTTTCACTGTGAGAACACAACGGTAAGTTTATATTGACCCCTACAGCATTTTCCCTCTCATCAACCCACACACACACACAATACTTCACAATAAGAAAGGGAATGTTTGGTACATTTATCAAAAAATATAACACTGAAATATCCCATGACAGGGTATCTGGGAGCCACTATAGCCTCAACACTATTTGAAAGTCATCCTACAAACTTGGCACGTGTTTTTGGACACACAGCCATTTTCAGGTCTCTTCAGAGATTCTGGTCTGGACTCTAGCTGGGTCGCAACAGCCAAAGCCACTCCTGTGTTTTCTCACCAGGGCATTGTGTTCATGAAATATAAACTTTGAACACAGCCTGAGATCCTGAGAAATAAATTCAATCCAGGCTTGCACTACATTATCTGCATACATCTGCAAGGGCCTGTTGCTTCAAAGTATTCCCACAGCATGATGCTGCCACCACCACGTTTCAGCATAGGGGTCGCAATAATGAGGTGGTGGTCAGTGTCAGGTTTTTCTCCACACACGTCTTTAGGAATTGTGGGTAGATATTTCCCTCTTTGGTTCCTCAGGACAGAGGATTTTGCTTCTCCTTGTTAAGATCTGCTTACCGGTATGTGTCTCCCAGCAGGCTCGATCGGTGACTGCTGCACCATTTTCCCCCCTCTATTCGAACGTTGTTCACAATGGACCAAAACAGACTAGACTGGATTCTTGGATACCTGTTCGACTGAGGCCCTCTGTCTATAATTACTTCTTTTGACCCGTTTTTACAAAGACTGTTGGTGTTTCCAAACTTCTTCTGTTTGAGAATGATAGAAGCCAACATCCTCTGTACACCTTCTGCCCTCAGGTCTGTGCTTTGACACTATCATAACCAAAGGACTAGTGCCAACTGTCTGAACTTCATGGCTCAGGTTTCACTCTAACATATACCATCACCTGTGAGAACTTCCAGCTCTAATTAGGACTTGTGAATTCGACTGCAGCTTGTAATGCAACTAAATAAGATATACTGGAAGCTGCGGTGAGCCATTTTTACTTACAACAGCTATGGTGTGTAAACCACTTTATACCATTCTCAAATACTTTGCAAAGCCATAGATTTGGCATTTTGCTTTGATCACATTTTGTCTCAAAAGGAACACTTGATGTAAAATAGTTTAGTGTGCTTGAGTGAATGGAAATCAAAATAGTTGATCAAAAACAGAATCGTCTGCTTCACTTATTGATCCACAGTATAACACATTAAAAACAGGATGGGATGTGCGATAAAGACACTGCTTTGCTGGCTGCACCATGTGATCGGCACATTAATACTTAAAGGCCATAGGAAACCTGCAGGCAGGCAGGCAGCACAGATAAGCACTGCTCTGCTTATCCAACTACCAGCTGCAGGTAAGACTGGCTCCACTCAGGTTCAAACCATTTGCCTGAAAAGGGTACATCTCCCATAACAAACAGAGAACAAGAAAACGTGTAAATAAATTTGCTGACTAGTTCTGTTATTGGTGCTTTTAGCAGCAAATTCTAGCTGTCCATGCATCCAGATTAATGACTCTTTTTATACAAAAAAACCCAACAAAAAACCCCAAAACAAAACATAAAGAGACGATTCACAGAACAACAAATTATCAGGGGCCTTGAGGCAAAAATGATCACACCCACAGTCTGCAGAAAAACTGGCTAGCAGTGTTATTCCACTGGCTGCAAATGAGTCAGGCGTGCGAATGGACAAGGTATGGCATGTCATAGGTTGCCATTCCCTACGGTTCAGTAACCTGGATTCAGATCAAGATGATGTAAGAGGAAGGGATGGATAATAACAATAAGCTTACTGTCCAATTAGCTGTGTCAGCCTTAGAAGGAAAGAGTCACGTCTTGCAAACTACAGAAGAACGTGACACATTAGCGTTGCGCAATGTTGTGCTCAAACTGCAAACAAAAACACCCCACCACCACCAAAAAAAATAAGCAAAACCTGAAATGTGTCTACGTCAAAAGTATGCAGGGTGACTAAAGGAAAATGGGAAGAACAATTAAAATTTCTGATATGAAATTCTTGGGATGCCACATTCAATGCTGGCGCTGAGCCTGAAACTGAACACAAAACAACAACCTAAGGAGTCACATTCCAGAAACAAGAAATGTGGGATTGCCTGTGAACGTTCAGTCAGGACTCCAAATCTCTCTAGCCAACCATGTGACCGGCATGTGCAGAACTCAAGAGACGTAAGAATGCCCAACTTAGCAAAAAAAGTGGAGGAAACTGTGTCATTCGCACATTAACCTTCAGTTAACAGTTTATCTAAATAAGGCAAAATATGCATAGATTCATACTCACCAGCCAGCAGGGGATAACCATGACAAATCAGCACTTTGTAACACATGTATATTTGCAATAATACAAAGTAATAAACAGAAATTCATTTCTTTTCTTAGCAATCACCTTGCTGTAAGCCAAAAGAGCAGAGTGCGCGAGGCTTTGATGATCCTCAAACACATTACAAAGCAACACTTGGTAACTAGTGAGAAAACCAAGCGCACCACCAACAGAGAGAAAACCAGCTAATTTGTAACTCTTGCAAAGCAAGTGGAAGATGAAACAAAGCAAACGTGAAAAAAAAAAAGAAAAAAAAAAGAGGGAAACAAACACAATCACTCTACACAATAACGCAGTTTCTTGTTTTGGATTACTTCTAATAAAGCTCCGCAACAATATTTAACCTGATTATATAGGAAGAATACCGCCACCGCAACAGCAAATCAAGGACAAAATGGCAACATGAGCGAGAGCAGAGAGGAAGTGCCAGGACAGGTCGATTGTTCAGAGTGAAGGTAAATGTCACCTTTGTTTCAGTGTGAGTATCTCCGCTTTCCTGTGGTGTTTCAGCCGTTTCAACGCTGCGTTTCGTCTCGTGTCCCCTATCGGCTACACGACCAGACGCCAAAGTCTCGCTCTGAATGCCCTCATCATGCGGCTTCTGTCCCTTCCTGTTACTGCTTTCTGCATTCTCTTCATCACTGTTAATGTCAATGTCGTACATCACATCTTCCTCCCTGACACTGCTGCTGTCTACGCTCTCCTGCTTTAACTCCTTGCTCAAACTCTCCTCTGCTTTGCCATCCTCCTCACAATCCATCTGAGGCTCCTCGGATGAGGTCTTCCCCGACTCTGCCTCAAGACTAACTTCAGACATACCTGGAAACAGACAGACAGGCAAGTATGAAAAAGTCCCACGAAGCTGGCCGACTGCTTATAGTGCCCCTACTAACAAAGGGAAATTAGTTAACTGCTGCTTGTAAGGTATTTTAGGACTTCTCATAGTCTTCTTTGTGTATCTGTATCTCACTGAGTGATTACTTTTTATTAAATACGACACCAGGGAATCACAATAACGGTTTCCTAACTTTATACAAAGTCATGTTTTTGTACAAAGTAAGAATCGTTTAAATTCACATTGTTTAAACAAGTAGTGGGATTTGAGGCTGCACAATACATACTCTGGGCCACGCCTACAGCACATCCATGTACTATACTTCCTTATCTGCCCCAGTCCAGACCTCTGAATAGTCTGCCTATCAGGCACATGTAAAGACCAATTGTAATTGTGGTGTATGTCCTACAGTTCCAGCACATTAATGTGTCTATCGAATGGCCATGTTTGAACTTTGAGTCGAATGCATGTGAGAGGCACAAACTGGGGTTCTGTTATTGATGAAAGCACTTGCACAACAGGAAAGTGAAGTGGCTCACATATAGACACCATTTTTAAACTACACTCAGGAGCAGCTGTGTAATCCAATCCCTAACCAGAACTCACAACAGGATTTTACAGTTCTATTTATTATTTATTCTAAGGTAAATTTCGATTGAATTTTACCTTGCATTTTAAAGCGTACCTGTAAAACTACAGGTACGTCTACAGGCTGTTAGCAGTCACCTGTGATACTGGAGCAACTACCTCCGACATTAGAGAACTGTTGGATAATTTCCAGATTTTCAGCTCTCTGCCGGAAACAAAGTGCACCTTTCACATAATGTTAACCGCGTCAGGTTTATAGCCTTTATGACATTGTGGAAATCGACGTGGATGCTGCTAGTACTACCCGGAACAGAGTCGAGTTTATCAAGGTTACCTGTTGAAGTGCAGTCACGTGACTTGCTGCAAGGCTGTTCAAAAGTGATTAAAAAAAATACTTGCCAGACCAAATATATAATGCAGCTAATTCATTTCATTTATTGAGATTGCAACATAATAAAAGTGATAAGTATGCATCAACCAAACCGTCCCCTAGCTTTACCCGCTAGTCCGTTAGCCCTGAGCTGCCCACTAATTTGACTTAACGTGAATCTATCGCAGCTGTTGACGTGTAGTTAGCTAGCGTTAAGTAGCTAACAAGCCGACAGGCAGCTAAGGAAAAACTTCCAATGAAAGCACTTAAAGTTGACAGTGTCTTCAAGCTTCGCTGGATGTGCACATCCGTGCAACAATTAAACAGGGAAGAAGAAAACTTTAGTTCATGTTACCTGTGTGCGGATGCGGCTAACTGTTTTAGCTGTGCCCCGTTAGCCGTTGTAGATGCTTATTGAAATCCTCAGCACCGGGCCGCACTGGACGTTTTAGCTCAAAGGGCTGTTAACGCAGACGGTGCATATAGATGTACTAGCAGTTTCTCATCGGCTGTCTTTCGCTCTCGGCAAAGACGCCAGACTCGCTGTTTGACTGCCCGGAAAGACTGTTCCACTCTGCTGGGCCTCTGCTGTCAGCTGAAGCAAACTACATCATTTGCGGGATGCGCTCTCCCCCTGCTGTTAAAATGTGTTGTTTGCAGTTTGTGTCGGATGCTTGTAATACGTTTATTATCTATTTTAGATCCGAGTAGAGACATATAATCTAAGGCAAAAGGATAAGATAAGAAGAAGACCGATATGTTTGTAAAGCATTCAACGTCAGTGTTTATCTCCGCTAACTACAACTTTCTCCCTGTTATCTGCTTAGAAAGTGATTTCCCATGGCAAACTCAATTTCCCATGAGCGCCTGGGTGGGGACGCACATTTACGTTTCGACGCGATCTGAGTCCTGGTTGAGGCAGTCCAGTCAGAGGCCATATTGGAATATATGAAGTCGGCTTGCACTTTGATGGAACTGAGTGTCTGCCGTTTTGAGAGTCTCTATACTGCTATCCAGGATTTATACGCGAGTGATTGCAACAGGCATTCCACTTGAGACTCTGCTAAGTCTGGACGGGAAGTTGTCTCGCTTCTTTTATTGGGAAAAATGAGTCCAACCGATGCTAAACGGGGGGCTAAACGCAGGAAGAACAAGCGGGGCGGTGGCAGTAGCTGCAGTGCTGTCTGCAATACCAGCGGTGGCAAGGCCGGGGTTGCTTCGGGCCTGGGCTGTGAGGGAACAGCAGCACCTGCCTCTGTCGTCGGCTTTTTGACACCTGGCAGTGCAGGCAGCGGGAATATAGGATCCATCACGGGCATAAACGACGAGGTAAGAGTGTCACACTACTGGATGTCAAAACAGGGGCGAGCAGCTTGGAGCGTTATCAACGACACATCTGATTTGGGCCCGAGACTGATGCGAGGAAGGCAGCTAGCTAACTAACAAGTGCAACGTAGCTGGTAGTTAACCGGCTTAATCACAGCTAATAATAGTTGTTTATTCTTTGTGAAATAATCGCAGTTAAACAGTCCCCAGTGTAATATAACACACTGTCTTAAACGTCAGGCTAACTTACTAAAGTCTTGGCGAAATCCTGACACTACCATCGTTAGCTTAAGTTAAGAGGTCGTAGGTGTATCGACAACGATTTAGACACAATCAAGCAGTTGGTTGATCTAATATTCTTCTCTGTGTATGGCTAGCACAGGTATAGATTGGGCTGCTCGAATCAAAGTTATTCGGGAATAACATTAAGATTAATGTAGGTGGCTCAAAAGCTGCTATCACCTAGGTAAACACTGATGCTAGCTTATGCTAACAGTCAAGAGCACTAACAATCTCATCACTGTTTTTGTGTTTTTAAATTCCGAGTTTCCATGATTTTTTTCTCTTTCTCTCTATTTCTCTAGTCTGTAAAGGTTTGAGTTTAACTTGGTCATATTTTCCAGAGGACCAGCTAAAGTACTCGACTACCTCCTCCACGTTAGCCTAATGAGCCCGTATACTTCAATACCACGATAGTGAAACTTAACAGTGAAATCTTAAGATGGTTAGCAAGCTTATTTACAAGATCGGAGATGTTAGTTAGCTTAATGGGTCGGGTAAATAACACTTGAGTGTTTTGTATTCTGCATCGAAAGGAACTATGTCCTGTCTGTGCTTCTGTGTACGTTTATTGTGCTTTTGTAGCTATTCTGGTCTCTCACGTAGAAAGTGTGTGTGTGTGTGTGTGTGTTGTTTGTTTGGGATTAGTGATGTTACAGTATCAGATTTTCCGCTACAAGTGGGCAGAAGAATTCATGGTAACAACAATATCGCTGAAAATAAAGAAAAATACCCCTAGTCATACCAAGCTTCATTTATTTCATCGTAACTTTATTCATTTTAACTTTGTTAATTCACTGCTGCGCTAATAAGGTAAATGATACAAGAAATTTCTTGGCTAAACCATTATGGAAAACCAAATGTGACTACTTGGAGCCACTGCTGTTTTGTGTACTCTTTTTGTACACAAAATATCATGAAGCTTAAACAAAGACCGGTCATTCAGTCAGGCCTGTGCTAAACAGAAGAAACACCTGTGAGTCATAGTGCAGGAGCTAGTGTTAGCTTGAAAAACTGTCAAGACAACGGTAATTAAATTAAAAATTAATTCCTCAAAGTAATACCAGTCTATCTGCACCTATCTCAGTGACTCAGCCTCGCTCTATCTCTGTGTGTGAGAGAAACACAGAGAAAGAAAAACCAATGCTGTTAGCACTAAACACCTTACTTTAGTCATCCATAAAGTAAGCATACACTGTCTAGTACGTGTTTATATACTATCTAGTGCAAGGTGACAGTATAGCAGTTACTAAAAAGAAGAGAGCCTTGATATAAACTGGATTCCTAGTTGTTCAGGTCATTTACAATATGTTTATGTGCATGTTTTACTGCAGCATTCATTTTTATTTTTAAATGTCAGTTATTACTAATGCTTAACAGTACATGCACAGATAGCCAGCTTGTTTTTCTCATAGCACCGATTACTACCATGGTGGTTTGTGTCAGCCTGCAGCAGCAACAGTAATTTGTCATTTAAGTTTACATAACATGAAACTGCTTGAATTTAATCCTTTAGTCTAAATGATCAGTTACGACTCCTTTTCTGCCAGTCTGTGCATGGCTAGATAGAGATTATGTTTTGCTATCATTTTTCTGAGTTGACTCCTTAAATGTGCGTACATCATTTTTGGGCACTTTTGTTTATAGGTTTTCTGTGTATGCAGTGTGTACAGGTGTGAACCTATGAGAGGTTTATCAGTATAAATATATATGCAGTCGAATATAAAACCCAGAAAATAATACAGAAAACATTAGAAGCTTTGAGGTGTAATATAGAAACTGTGTCATCACTTAGTGTAATTGATCACTTGCATAAATAGAAAGGGATGAGTTCATTGTAAACTATGAGCTGTTTTGTGTCCATCAGGTCAAAGTGAACAGCGGCGTTACACCACAGTTTACGGAAGGACCGGTGAATGCTGACTTCTCTGGAGTCCTTCAGGTAAAGTACAGTCAAGGGTTTCTGAATCCACTCAATTATACAGAACCTTTGTCGCTCAAAGACATGTCCAGTTTACCAGTATAATACACACCTTGACAATAGAACTGTGTGTACGCTAAATGGTGGAAACCCACTCAAGATTTAAACATTCAGTGTTTCTGTTAATCCAGTCATTTTTAAGTATGGAACTTATTCATATTCGGTAGGACTTGCTTCAGTTATTCATACATTCATATGCTCCAGCATTTGTATTTTTTATTTTTTTAACAGTAGGATTTAAGTGTTGATAACTGCCTTTTTTTTTTCCTGATTACTAATGACGTTATTCCTCAGAATTCAAATCCATACAACACACATCACGAACATGAACTTGAACAAGGAACGAGGAAATATATGTATGAAATGTACTGTTTATCATAGAGAACCCAACTGATTGATCAGTGAGCAGATATTGTCTGCAAATATTTGCTTTTTTCACTGATCTTTTATAATAATAATAATAATAATACATGGATAAATAATATATAAATGGAAATTAAAAAGGTAAGGAAGAAGGGTGAAAAATGCCTTTCAACTATGTTATGAGAGTTGGCGTTGCATAGTTTGTCCAACAGAGGGCACTTTACAACTCTCCTGTTTGTTGTGTGAAACACTACACACTGATTAGGAGCAGTTGGATTCAACGCAAATGAGTAAATGATTAACTAACATGTGTCACACAATGTTCAGCTACTTTCTTACACCAATTTAAAAAAAAAAAAAAAGAATTTACAATATCGACACCTGAGTTTGAGAATGTGATAATTTAAGAAGGAGGAAACATGGGATTCTGAAATTCATACCATAGCTGTACTAGGAGGCCATATCATGTTTGGATAGATGCTGATATTCCGTTAAGTGTAAAGCTGCCCCGCTCTAACCCAGAGTACTCACTGAGTCACAGTCTCCAGGAGTACACGTTTAAAATGTAGCTGAAATAGATGGAAGTCAACCTTCTTCTTAAAATCCCATAGCCATCCCACCCACCGTCACAAGCAGTCAGTGTGTATATCATTAATTGAAGCCTCTAACTTCTAATTACGTGTTTGTGCCCCTCTGTGGTTCACTCACTGAAAGGACTCTGTGTTAAAGTTCCTGTGATTTAATGAAGTACAGCGGGCCTGTTCAAACAGCTGTTGTACCTGGAGTACATTGAGTCGTGAATGTTAGATTGGTTAGCAGTTCAAGTGATCACAAACTTCAGTTTTCCTCTAAAATAACATCTGTATTATTATTATTATTATTATTAGAAGAAAAAATAACCTGCTTTTATTTATTCCCTTAAGTAATAAATGACAACAGCCACTGCATTTCTATCTAGGGGATTTTAATCAAACACAGTGACTTCATGTAAACTAATATTTTTTTCTTTCCCACCACAGACCCCATTCACATTTGGCCTGAACCAGCGAGCGCCCTACACTGCTGGTGATCGCTGCCTCTTGTGTCGATGTGAGCGTAAAGACACTGTCGTGCCTTCAGAGGCAGGCATCTCAGGCCAGAACGGTACGGCACAGCCTGCCAAGACTCCCAGTGCCCTACAGCTGCCTCTGTGGGTGTGCTCTGACTGCAGGCGCACAGTGGAGAAGGAGGACCGACATACTACTCTAGAGCAGTCTTTAGGGGTAAGTCACATGAGTGTGAAGAGAATTAAAGTTATAAAGAGTTTGTGCATGGAGAGAGAGTGCTGCGTGTCAAGCCTTTG